GGGCGGGGGCTCCGCCGGTCGCCGAGCCAGGCGCGGTCCAAAGCCTCAGACCCCACCTGGCCCGGCTGCACGCGGGCCCGCAGCCCCCAGGCCCGTGGATAGGACCCAGGGGTGCGGGACAGGGACCCGCTGGGTCGCCGCGGCGCAGGGCACAGGTGCACGCCGAGGAGAGGCGCGCCGAGGGCAGAGTCGTCCAGACTTGGAAAACCAGCGGGCGACTAACTGGATTCAGGTTCCACTTCGCTTAAAGCACAGGTTTTACACGGAGAGAAAAACAACCCTGCTCGCCATGGGGTGGGGGGTGGAAGTGAGCTCGACGCCCCCCCACGCGTGCTGCCGCCCGGGAATCCGCGCCCGTGTCCGGTGTCCCTGCCACTGGCCGCTGCGCCCCAGGATGCTGGGGATGGGGGGGGGCAGCCACGAGGAGGGCGAGACAGAAGAATGTGAGGCCCGTGCCTGGGGAGGAGAAAGTGGGGGGACTTTAGCTCTAGGAGAGCCCCCCTTCTGAAGAGCGCAGCCTGGAGGCGGGCTTCCACGTCGTGGCCCTCCCTTCAGCCGTGGCCAAGCTCGCTGCAGCCCCTCAGGTCTCCCACCCCCCCCCAGCCATGGAGGGGGGGCGGCCTTGGGGTTCCAGAGGGACCAGCTGAGGCAGTGCAGGTTGACCCGGGAGGGTCTCCAGTCCTAGGTGACAGCGGAGAGCTGGGCCCAGAAAGTGAGGGCGAGGGTAGCATCTTTAGGAACTAGGCCAAGAGCTGGGCACCTGTGTTCTGGAGGCTGAGATCTAAAGATCGGATGCAAAGCCAGCCCAGGCAGACAAGTCCAGGATTTCTTATTTCCAATTAGTTGGCAAAAAAGGAAGTGGAGGTGTGGCTCAAGTGGTAGAGCACCAGCCATGAGCAAAAAAGCCCAGGGATTGCAGGTGTCCCTGAGTTCAGGCGCCAATACACACACACACTCTCTTTCTTTCCTTCCCGCCCCCCTCTCTCTCTCACACACACACATAAGATGGCAAGGGTTCTCTGTCATTGTGTGTCTCATACATTCCATCAGTTTTGCTCCAAGTTGCTGTTCCTATCTGAATACAATCAGAACACATTTTATTGATGTAAACTTCACTTGGGCGTGGGGAACAGTAAAATCACTTGGTGTAAGACGATCAGACACGTATGGTGCTTGTAGCCTTCCCCAGGCCATCTGCCTGTATTGATCATTTTTGTGTGGCCCCCAGAATGACATTATAAACATTCAAATGGCCCTGGGCCCAGAAGAGGTTCCCCACCACTGCCAGGTCGGGAGTTTCCAACTGGCAAGTCCCATGGGTGTGTGTGTGTGTGTGAGAGAGAGAGAGAGAGAGAGAGGGAGAGAGAGAGAGGGGGGGAGGGAGAGGAAGAGGAGGAAAGCCCATCCCCTGACTGTGACTGGACCAGGGCTCAGACTTCACCCCCCCCCAGGTAGGGGTCCAGGGACTAGAAGGCAGGGAGAATACCTGTGCCCAGGGTGGAAAGCTCTACATTGGGGTGTGAAAGAGCTCAGAAAGAGGGGAGCTGAAGAACCACTTTTGCAATCAGGCTTTAAATAGGGTGGGTTGGGCTTAAATAAACAACATTTAAATGCAGTGAATGGGTTCAGGTGTGGGCATGCTTTGCTGGAACCAGACACCTGCAGGCTTCCAAGGTAACCGCAAGGACTACCCAGCATGCATCATTTCCTGGTCCAGTGGACCAAAGTCGGTAACAGAATGTCTGCACAAGGCCAAGAGCCAAAGGGAATCTACTCACAGCCCAAACCCCAAACAGAGCTGTGCTGAGGAGCACCCACAAGTAGAAAAGAAAGTAGGGAGGGGATTAAGATAGATCCGGAAGAGTCTGGGAGCCAGGGAGATCCCTTCTGCACTGAACATCACCTGGTTGATTTCCTGGACTTCGCTGAAACTCACACACAGGCTCCGCATACTTCCTCCTCTCACGCATGCACAAGTCCACGGTTTTAAATGAGGGAGGGAGATTGGAATTAAAAGACAGGCTGCAACTTGTTGGGGCACAGCAGGGTGGTCCCGTTGCATCCAAGGGACAGACGTGGGCGTGGTGGGGGAGCACGCTTACCCAGCACGCTCCAGGCCCTGCTCCGGACCCGTGTCACTCAAAGCAAACCCTTACAGTGACCCACATCAGCCGCTGGGGTGTGTGTGTGGAGCTCAGGGGTGGAGCTCACTGCGTCCACGTGCACGGGCCTGTTTCCCTTGGGTTCTGCCGGGCGCTGACCCCATCTGCCCAGGGTGCTTGGAGAAAGGGGAGTGAGCCCCAGAGACAGGACGGGAGGCACCCGGGGCTCAGGGGAGAATGAGGCAGCTGGGTGGTGGCCTCCCCCAGCAGCACCGGAGGGAGTGGTGGCCACCGTCCTGCTCCAATGCTCTGTCTGAAATGGCTTCCACTAGAGATACCTCCTCCCTTTCCCCCACGCCAGGGCTCCCTCATCCCCACTGGCTTCAGGGGCCCCTCCCCTAGGAGAGACTAGGAACAACCCAAGCCATTCTTACACCAGGACACCTGGGCGCAAGGACTCCATGCGATGTTTGTTGTACTTGGAATGGCTTACACTACGGCAGCAGCCTGGAGTCCTGGCTACGCAGCAAGCTGAGGTCTGTGGGTCTCATCCAGCCCCTTGCGGCTCATCTCCAATTAACCAGCAGCTAGGCCCGGAGTTCAAGCCCCCCCCCCTTACTGGCACAAAAAAGAGTCAGAATTGTTTGTTGAAATTTGAAACTCTTAGTTTTTGATGTTGAGTATGAATTCAATTTTTTGTTTTGTTTGTTTTGTGGAGGACCAGGATCCAAATAAATACTAGAATCAATTCCTTACACACTCAGTATATATGATTGGACCGGGCATTTAAACTCTTGCTGGGCTGGTACTGTACTACTTGAGCCATGCCTCTAGCCTGACTTTTTGCTGGCTACTTTGGGATGGAAATAACTGTCTTTTCTGACTTTTCTGCCCAGGCTGGCTTTGAGCCATTATTTCCCTGATCTCAGCCTCTTGAGTAGCGGGATTACAGGTATGATGGATTGGCCAAGTTATAATTCTGTTCCCCTGGGCTTCACAGGAAGAAACCCTGGCGAGCAGGACTCTGTCTTCTCCACACCCACCCACCCCCAATTTGGTGGGGTTTAACTCATGGAAAAATCTTGAAAGTTAAAACATGGAACCCAAACTCCCAGAGACTTACATTAATTAAGATGTTAATAGAAGCAAGAGGGTGAAGGGAATTCAGATCCCAATCAGCCTTCCCTGAAAGACCACAGTTAAGCTTATGACAAAAACCAGAAAATATGTTCCTGCTAAAAAGGTGCCAAACCCCACCCAAACACAGATGGTACTATGTCACCTCTGCCAAGGAACAGAATGGCAGCCCTGATCCCTCCCCAGACTCACTCCCTTCCAGGAACCGGAGATGTCCGCACCTGACCCACCAGCACCCATTCCTGGAGAGCTTTGCTCCAGGGTCCTGGGGAGCTTGAACTTCAGGAAGGTTCTGGAAGGCTCCAGATTGCTCGACTGACAGGCTTGGGGCTGGAGCTTCATCAAGGGCTCTGCTCTGGCATCTGCTGTTGTCTACCTTGTGCCCCCCCCCGCCCCCCGCAGCAGTGAGAGCTGGCACACAGGCTCCATCTCTGGGCTGCACTGGCCCCTAGTGGCCAGTTGCAGTGCTGCCCCTGACCGTGGGTTTGCCGTACTGCCTGTGCCCTGGGCATGTGCCCACTCTTGGACCTCTGGGCTGTAGCCACCCTGAGAGAGCCCCTCCTTTGCCGTGCCCGCTGCGTGACCCCCTTCCCGCTGCCTGCCTCCTGGGGCTGGGGACGTGTGCTGGCTGCATCAGCCCGGGGACTGTGGGCAGGGCCCACACACGCCTGGAGGGTGCCGCTGCGGCGTTTGGGTGGCGGCAGCTGAACAAGGCCACCAGAGGAGGGGCAGCCCCAGGTGCGGACAGACAGACAGGGGGCTTCCTGAGGGGGGAAACGGGAGCCCGGAGCTCGGAGCGCCACAGCCCGGGTGCAGGGGCCGGGCAGCCGCATTTCTGTCACCGTTACCATTGCAGTGGTCACTGGCAGCCCTGTCTGACCACCGTCACCAAGCCAGGCTGGGGAGGCCGGCTCTACTGTCTTCCGTGTCAAGAATAGATTTTCTAGCAGATTCTGCCGAGGTCAGGGGAGACCCAGAGGATATAAAGAAGGTGCGAGTCCTGAGTGCGTCTTCTGAGAAGATGAAAAGATGTAAAAGGGACCCCAGCTCGAGGCTCAAGAAGCCTGGGACCCAATCCTAGTGCTCTACCTTCCCTCAGGGAGCCCCACCAGGTAACAAGGGAAGGGGGGGACGGCCATTAGCCGTGAAGGGCCAGGCTCCCGGATCAGCGGCTGAAAATTGCCACTTTGTGTCAGCATCACAAATGGAATGTACACACACACACACACACACACGCTTTCACAGCACTTAGGCCCCAGCCCAGCTCCCTGGTGGAGGGACACAGGAACGTGTTAGAAGCAGAGCACAGGCCTGCTGGATCCCGTCATCCCACCAAGTGTTGGGGGAGGGAGGGGGAGGATTGCTGGCTGGGGAACAGAAGGACAGAAGGCCTCATCCTCCCAGGATGCCCAGGAAGGACATGAGACAAAGTCCAGGGGGTGTCAGGCCTTCCCTGAGCCCCGAGCCACTGGCCACTCTGTGCTCAAACGCAGAGTCCTTTGAAGGGGTCCCAGTCTCAGTCTGCCCAGGAACCTTCAGCCTTCCGGTGGTCAGGTGAGGGAGAGGACGAGAGGGTGCCAAGCCCAACCCTCCCCACCCCCCGTGGGAAGGACTAGCCCTGATACACCGCTCCTGCCCAAGGGACAGGGAGAAGAGGCCGGCTCTGGAAACTACAGGGAGGCCGTCTGCCGGGGCAGCAGCCTACACACGTAGGCCGCCCCGTCACCGCGGGCTCCGGCCTTGGCAGCAGGAGCGCCCAGGCCCACGGCCCTACTGGCAGCAAAGCCGGCACCCGGGCAGGAGCAGTGAGTCAGGCTCTGCAGGAATGCGTCGAGCATGCTGCGATCTGCAGCTCCCCCGAAGCCCCAGCCCCTTCCCTGATCAGAAGAGAAGATGGATGAGGACACTGTGAATAGGCCCGAGCTGCCCCGCTGGGCCCCGGGGAAGGGGTTTGTGCTGTGGGTGCCTAGCAAGCCAAGACACTCCGATCTGAGCTGACGCCCGTGGCGTGCCGCCACCTGCTCTACAGGGGCGTGGGGACCATCAGCCTCCATCAGCACCTCGTTCAGGTCCCGCAAGCAACGTCTGCTAAACCTGGCCAGTTGGTTTCTTTGCAGGATGCAGGGTGCATGGGCTTCCCTGTCCATAACATCAATATTAAAAGGCTAAAAGGCAGAAGATCTTTAAAAGAGGAGGAGAGAGACCAAGCATTGCTGGCTCACACCTGTAATTCTAGCTACTCAGGAGGCTGAGATCTGAGGATCATGATTTGAAGTCAGACAGGGAATAAGAGTCCATGAGAGGGGCTGGGAAGGTGGCTCAGTGGTAGAGCGCTTGCCTTGCATGCATGAGGCCCTGGGTTCGATTCCTCAGCACCACATAAGCAAAAAAGAAAAAAGCCAGAAGTGGTGCTGTGGCTCAAATGGTAGAGTGCTAGCCTTGAGCTCAAGAGCTGAAGGACAGTGCCCAGGCCCAGAGTTCAGGCCCCATGACTGGACCAAAAAAAAAAAAAAAAGAGTCCATGAGATTCTTATCTCTAACAAACCTACTCAGAAAAGGTTGGAAGTGGCACTGTGGCTCAAGTGGTAGAGTGCTAGCCTTGAGCACAAAGAGGCTTGGGGCAGCACCCAGGCCCCGAGCTCAAGCCCCAGGGCTGGCAAAAAAAAAAAAAAAAAGGAGTCTGTGTTTTAAAATACTGAGCAGATTTACTGGGCACCAGTGGCTTGTACTTGTATTCCTAGCTACTCAGGAGGAGTAGCTAGGAGGATCAAGATTTGAAACCAGCCTGGACAGACAAATTTGTAAAATTCTTTTTTTTTCTTTTCTTTGGGGGGGGGGGTTGGTCATGGGGCTTGAACTCTGGGCTTGGGCGCTATCCCTGCGCTCTTCAGCTCAAGGCAAGCGCTCTACCGCTTGAGCCACAGCACCACTTCCAGGTTTCTAGTGGTTTATTGGAGATAAAGAGTCTCACGGACTTTCCTGCCCAGGCTGGCTTTGAACCATGATCCTCAGATCTCATCCTCCTGAGTAGCTAGGATTACAGGTGTGAGCCACCAGCGCCTGGCTTGAAATTCTTATCTCTAATTAACCATCAAAAGGCCAGAAATGGTGATGTGGTTTAAGTAGTAGAATGCCAGCCTCAAACAAAAAAAAAGTGAAATAAGAGTGAGAAATGAAGCCCTGGGTTCAAGCCCCAGTTCTGGCATTAAAAACAACAACAAAAACAAAAAACATCAATGTGAGAATGAAAATCCTCTGCAGGGAGAATCAATGAACTGGAGAAGAGTTGAGTCAACCCTGGGAAGAAAAGGAGGCAACAGATACGAGAGGAGGAGCAGGAGGACAGAGTGAGAGAGGAAGGTTTCCCCGTGGATTTCTAGGACCCTAGTCCTACACGGTGAGGCGGCACTAGGGGGAAGGGAAAGGGTGCAGGGCTGTTCCAGACACAGAGAACGGCACGTACCAAGGCCCGAGGCACACAGCCCGGCCTGCACGCAACCTCTGCTTTGTGCTTGTCTTTACTTTGTAGGCAGTACTAGGGCACCCTGACCCTACCTAAGAAGCTAGTATTGTGAGGATCCAAGCACAACAGGGTGGCCACTGAGGCTGCCTGGCCACTTCAATGGAGCTTTCACTTCTCATTGCACCCCACCTCCCGCGCTACCCCCCCCACTGCCCCAAGCCCATGTGGCCAGGGAGATCTAAACCCAGTTCCCATGCCTCAGGGATGGGCATGTGACCAGCCAAGTCAGCCACAGCCAGTGAGGCCCACTTCAGAAACCGTGGTTAAACTGTTGGGCAGGGCTGGAAAGGTGGCTCAGTGGTACGGTGCTTGTCTCACATGCATGAAGCCCTGGGTTCAATTCCTCAGCACCACATACACAGAAAAGGCCAGGAGTGGCACTGGGGTTCAAGAGGTAGAGCGCTAACCTTTAGCAAAAGCAGCTCAGGGACAGTGCCCAGGCCCTGAGTTCAAGCCTCAGGACTGGCCAAAAGAAAAAACAAAACTATTGGGCAAAGGCAAGTTCTGGTCCTGCTGGGCTGGGGCTGCTCTGCCAGGGGTCAACGTGCTGGTCTGGATCTCCCTGGAGATAAACCAACACAAGGAAAGGGCAAGCTCTCCTGGCAGCTTCGTGCGTGTGCTGGTCTGAGATGGTTTGAGGTCCCACAGAACGCCCTAGTCTGCCCACAAAGCAACGGGAAGCCTGGAGGCTGGCGCTCAGGACGACCTGGCCCCTGGGGTCAGGGAGGCGGCCCTCGGAGGAAGAGCTGAGCTGGTCCCAAAGGCTGTGTCACGGTTCGTGGGGCAAGGGCGTGCCGGGCAGGCTGGGGAGTGCTGGCTGTCCTCCGGAAGCCTCCACTGGCTGGCTGCAGAGCAGGGTCCCTGCCCAGGCAGGCCCGGGCTTCCCGCGCAGCTCCCAGCACAACCCCTGACAGCCTCGGGCCTCGGCAGGAGCCAGAGACCCGAAAAGGCGTGACGTCTCAGAAGCGTTGTGTGGGACGCAGGCCAGTCCCCCAAGGTCTTACATCACAGTTCATGTCCGTGTCGGAGCCCCCCACCTCGGGATACACTGACGTAGGCAGGGGCAGCGTTGGGAGGTCACGGGGCCTGTCCATCCCTCCAGGGACTATCCCTGAGATTGACACCTGGTAGGTGCAATGCCCAGGCCACCAGACCAAATGTGCACAGGGCTCCAGCCTCTGCACCACAGCAAAGCCCCTTCCAGTCTGCACCCCAGCTGACAGAGCCCCAGTGGTATGCAGATTCCAGCCCAGTGTGTGTGTGTGGGGGGGGGGCGCCACGCCTGGGTGTTTGGGGCAGCCACATCTGAGTGTCTCCAGCCATGGCCACTAGAGGGCACTGCCTTGCCAGGGGGCAGAGCTGTGGACAGCTACATAGTCTTGCCAGAGCTGTCCGTGTCACCAAGGCACCATGCCATGGGTCAGCTCAGGACCAATGGCAGATGGCAGGGTGCGAGGCCCACCCTGCAAACCCCGCCCAGGAAAGGATACAGGAGGAGGGCAGGGTGGGCGTCAGGAGATGCCTGGAGGGCCGGGGGAGGATGGGGTGGGACGGGGAGGGAGGGGCTTGGGGTCTCTGTGGAGGTTCTTGTAGGAGTCATGGGGGATTCTGAGGGACCTTCAGAGTGGATCTTTGGGGCCGTGAGAAACAGGAAGTCTGGGTTGAGCTTGGAGGGCACTCTGCAGGCGGGGGGGGGGGGCTGGTCTCGAGAGAAACTTAGAGGTTCTGTGGTGTCTCAGGGGACCTTGATGAGCCTGAGGACTTGGAGAGGAGCACTTGGCAGAGAGCCAGGTGGTGCTGTGGCTGTGGCGTGGGCCTGTGACGGCAGCTCTGCGCCCCCCGCCCCCATCTGTGAGGGGAAGGCTCCCGGGCTTTCTTGGGTCCCTGTGGGGGTGGGAGAGTTCATGACAAGCCCATTGTTTGTGGTCCCTTGACTCTGCTCTCAGGAAAGGACCTCTCTAAGGGGACCCCCCTCCCTCCAGGGGTCAGGCCGAAGGGGCTCCCCAGCCTGCACGGGGAGCCCCTGGTGAGCTTCACGAACTTTCTGCAGTGATCCTGGCCGAGTAACACTGGGAGCAGGGGCCACACGGCCGCTGACCCGTGCAAGGTGGCTAGGGCCATCAGGACCTGAATCCATTTAATTGTAATGAGTTGTAATCTCAATGTAAATGTAAACAGGACTGCGGGGTAGTGGCTGCTACACTGGACGTGGCAGACTTTGCATGTCAATCACGTTTGGTTTCAAAGCCGCTGGTCCCCATCTGGAGGCCCCCCATTCATGGGTGATGTCTCCTATCTGTAGGTACCCCATTCTCTCTTTTCCAGGGG